TTGCAGTTAATTCTAGGCCTTTTGTGCCATTTGTGCCATGTTTAGTATTCAAAATTCAGCAAGAACATATTTCAGCAACAAAATCCAGCAACATTACAGAAAAATCAAGCAAAATTATATCAGCAACTTAGCAAGAACACATATGGCACAAAATTCAGACTTCACACAAATCAACAAACATCCCCTTAATTACATATCAACAACAAATAAGCAAGAACATACGAAAACCACAACAATATGCTTAAAACTCAATTAGATTTCACACAAATCGTTCACCCAATAACAAATTGATCAGCCAACATAGCAAGATAGCAAGAACATGACAATAACACAACACATTGTTCATTACGTTTCCAGAAACAAATTTAAAAGAGAAAAAATCTTTAAAAATCGCTCCAGTAAATAAGGAAGAAAAAATCGCTCCAGTGAAGTTGGAAACGTACCTACGAAGGGGAGGAGGCGGCGAGGAGGGAGGCAGCGCAGGTGGAGTCGAATCGAGTGTTGTATAACGTCCGAATGCAAGCTGAAATCAGTGGAGGGAGTGTTTTGTTGTTCGTTGAAGTAGAAGAAGGAAGAAAAAAATAGGAGGATGATTTTAGGGTAAGGGCATCAAATGAAAATATTTGATCCAGACTCCTTATGATATCTGACCAAATAAGACCTTTGTTTTTAATATCTGGTTGATTAAGAGGCTAAAAAACTTCTAACCAATTGCTCTGAATCTAAATGATCCAGAGCCAGCCTCTTTATGGGATGATTAAGAGGCCAAACAAACACCCTCTAAGTTCATAACTATTTCTGGAATGTACTTGACCCAGTTGGCATGGTCCATTTGGGTTGCATGGAATTGCAACACGTGTATAGACTAAATGAGAGAAAAGACACTTAAGGATTATTAATATATTATAAGTTCTAATATATTAATAATATTATTTAACTAGTATTGATCAAAGAATTAATTTGGAATTAATTAAGTGATCAAAAAGAGACTAATTAAATATATGGGGTTGATTATGTAAATCATTCATTCTTGTATAGTGGGCTAATGATCCATGGTTTATATGAATTGGGCTAAACCCATAAGATGCTCCATGGATAGTCCATGGGAGTTATAAACCCATGGATCATGGAATATGGAAATCCGTGACAATTAGGGTTTACATGGTGTAACCCTACTTGTGACACAACTACATAAAGCCCCAAGTCTAGCAAAATCGGCCGCTACAAGCAAGTACAAGAGGGCTAGCCAAATTTTGAGTGTTAGTGATCTTCTCTCAAAGTTATTCTAAGTGGTGTGGTGTTGTGTGAGAAATTTGAGGCATCACACTTGAGGTGCTAGGCTCACAAGGTTCTTAAGGAATCCAAACAACAAAAGGTATGTTCTTCTACTAGCTAATATGTTTAAAAGTTCCCCATGCCATACTAGTTAGGTTAAGAACCTTGGAAAATAAAATTTGCATGTATCTTAGTAAAACATAGATCCAAGGTTTCTAGGGTTGCATGTACACCTTAGGAGTGTTAGAATGCTCAAAACCCTTCAAACATGTCATTCAAATTGTTGACAATAATAATATGATAGTGATACGGGAAAACTGAAATAAAATGATGACAAATATAACACCACTCATTATATATATATATATATATATATATATATATATATATATATATATATATATATATATTTACTACTTTTGAAGTGCCAGGTGAACAGTACCTGCTTCTCATTGGTGGGGACTTTTTTTTGTTTTTTCTTCCATTTTGCTTTTTCATATTAAAAGACTGAAGGAGTGGATTAGTGTCCGCATCACGTGTTATGTCCTCTTCGACCTCCCCGACAATCAGATGTCTACACCTTTTCCATCGTTTAAAAGTTCCTCGCTTTTGATCGCCAATCCATTTTTTTGCATCTGACATCGGTAGAGATGTGTTTTATTTTCCAAGTTTGTTATCTTAAACACCACCGCTTCACCCTCATAACCTAAACCACCGATGATCTCCGACGTTTCCCTACCTACTGTGGATTCGGTGCACGGGACCAGATTTGGCATAACCAGATGCTAACATCGACATCGGAAGACCACAACTTGCACCAAATTGGTTCGTCTTCTCCCTCAATTTGATAGATTAGGGATATTTTGTGCAGATTTCTAATTTTTTCCAAAGGTTCCGTTTGACTATTGATACCCACCAATCGGCCACGTCAGTTCAAGCTGTCTTCTATTTTCCTTTGTGCGTTTTTCAGTTGTCAATTACCACCACCTCAACGTTATACTCCTTAACTCATGCTCAACCAAACCTAGGGTTTGTGAGCCGATGACCACCCTTCTCTCCCTCTTTCTAAAATTCCAATACAAACTTTGTTTCTGTAGTCTACAGTTCCTCTTTAACAGGTTTTTTTAACATTAATTTGAAAGATTTTTTCTTTTAAAGGTGAAAGCCATAATGTATCGATTATATAAAGCAACAAAGAGTAGTTTAAAGAGCATAACACCAAAAGAAGTCAAGTTACTAAAGTATCTGCTTAATTTCACGGATCCAGAAGAACAAATTTAGCTTTAGCAACTGCATTTTCTCCTGGTAAAGATGATGAGGCTAAGGATCGCAATCCAATATACACGTAAATTAGCTCTAATTTTTATTTATTTATTTATTAACAGTGAAATTGAATTTTCAAGATTATGTATGCATTCCCTCACTGCATTCCACTACCGTTTACAGACGCCATCATAGAAGCCTATCTCCTATAGTATTTCTTCTTTCTTCAACCAGTATTATCATTTTTCATGTATAACTGATCCTTTGATTTAGATGATTTCATGTATCGTTGTACCCTATGCTTAGCAACTGGTTCCTGATATGTATTTTATTTAAGTATTTGGGCATTATTGGTCTTGGACTCGGCAAGTTGAAGGACCAACTCGCCGAGTAGAAGCGGGACGAGACGCGGGGTTTAAGTGATGGACTCGGCAAGTCGGTTCCCGGACTCGACGAGTAGGCTCTGTCTGGACAAAAACCCTAATATGAGGGTTTGCACCCTATTTAAACAACCTTATGCAGCCCCCATTGCCCCTTTATGCTTCCAGAAACCCCTCATTGCAAACCCTAGCCGTTTTTGAGAAGAACTAAGGCATTTTTGGTGGATCTTGCTAGTTGTGACCATAAGGAGGAAGACAAAGGCTTGAGGAAACAAGTAAAGACCAAGGGAACCCGAGTTTGTGCACCTTCTACAGCTCATTGAAGGTAAAAAGTTGTAATCTTACTCATTCATTTGTTAGATCCCTCTTTGAGGTGATTTAGGGCTTTTATAAGTCATTTTTCGTGGCCAAACATGTTTACAAACATGGTTGGGGGTTTGAGCTTCTAAATCACATCATTAAAGGAGTTACAAGACAGATTTGGGTTGCTTTTGCACCCATTAAAGGTCCCATGCACCATAGAAGCTTGTTTTATGTCTTTTGAGCTCATTATCCCATGCATGCACGTAAAGCTTGTAACTTTACGTGCTAGATCGAGTTTAGGGGCTTGGATCTATGAGTCCCATATCTGTTGCATCAGAAATCAAGGATTTAGACTGTGGACATGACTTACTCGACGAGTCCGTTCTTGGGACTCGGCGAGTCCAAGACTTTGAGTCCCATATCTTTTGCGGGTCAAAAGAGCACAGTGGGGAGTTAAAAAGGTTGTAGCAGGACAGAAAGAATGACCCAATGTATTGGACTTAGTTTAAGAGATGGATTTCATGGGTCTCGACGAGTGCTAGAACGAACTCGGCAAGTCCAAGCCAATCTTCTTAAGGATGAAGATGAACTCGGCGAGTCGAGGATAGAACTTGTTCTTCAGTTGAAGGTGAACTCGGCGAGTTGTTCATCAACTCGGCGAGTCGGGTGAGTTTCATAATATGTTCATATGAGGGTGGAACTCATCGAGTTGACAGCCCAACTCGACGAGTCGGGTCATGGATAAGGACGAGTAAAGGGTGAGGGACTTGGTGAGTTGACGAGTCAACTCGGCGAGTCGGGTCAACTTGAAATTGAATTTGACTAGACTTGGACTGACCCTGTCTGGGGTTGTACTTGTTTTCAGTTGACTTGAAGGTTGTCGTGTAGGGATCAAAGAGTCGAAGGGAGTCGAGTAGTGCACCGAAGATAATTCAAACACTACACGACATTGAGGTGAGTTACCTTCCAGTAGGGGTGGGTTTAAGGCCACAATGTTGGCCCACCAGTAAGGGGTATTCATAAGATAATGGTCTTTGTGATAATTATCTTGGTTTGGTTATGTGTCGGTTATGAGATTTGTTTGGATGATATGTTATGTGTATAGTAGGGATTAGTTTCCCTAATAGAGGTTCGTAGGACCCAAGGGTAGGTCAGTACCCGGATATGCCTTACTGTATGTTTATGTCTGTTGATTGTGTGCTAGTGATAGGGGTGAAATAGTCCCCAGTTACCGGTTGCAAGATACCGATGTTGATTACTGGTTGCAAGATACCGATGTTGGTTACCGGTTGAAAGATACCGATGGAGGTTACCGGTTGAAAGATACCGACGATATTGTATGGTATGTGGTATGATGGGGGAACTCACTAAGCTTCGTGCTTACAGTTTTGGTTTTGGTCTCAGGTACCTCTTCGTCGAAGGGAAAGGAGCCGACGGTGTAGCAACGCATCACATACACACATGGTTTCCGCATTGAACTTCTGGGATTGTACTCTGATTTTTATTACTTTTGATGTCATGATTTGAGACATAACATTATGATTTTGTAAGGTGTTGTTTTATCGACAATGTTTTGGTAAAATGTTTTAAATTCAAAAATGAAATTTTTGGGCTTGAATTTTAGGATGTTACACTCTGTCATGCATTTTCCTAAACATCTTAATATTTTCTCACAAAGTTGTTTCTCTTTCCAACTAAATTTTGTTGTTTGTCTATTATATTTGTTTGTTTGTTGTTGTTTGTTTGTGTCCTGCAGGAAGTGGAACAAGAACTGAATACATGGGAAGGTTATGTGGACTATTATATCCCGTTTCTTATGCGTCTAGGTTGGAACAACTTTTTAGTCCGCCATCTGTTCGATGAAATGCTTAAGTGAAAAATATTTTTCTTAACTTCTTTCATGTTTCAAATTACTTCAAAACTTGAGTTGGTGTCTTTATCTCTAAAAAATAAACAATAAACACTAGGCTTCTTTTAAATCACTTCAAGACTTCAATGTTTTAATTTGTAACTATATGCTTAGTATAGGCTTTCGTGGAATCGACTTAAAACTATTCATTATGGAGAATTATCATATGTTGGTAATTGTGAATGTTCACACACCTTCTACATGTGCTAAATATGGATATGCTCAAGATTTGAGTCATGAATCATTACAAGCCTTTGATTCGTTCAAGTTTTATAACCATTCAGGTCTCTTAATAATTAGTTTGACTACCAATTTCTTACATACACCAACTTTTTACATTTTGCAGGTTGACATGGCGAATAGCATGTATGGGTTTGAACTTTGAAATTGAAGAGGAAGTGATGTATCCCAACTTGGTTATACTTCAAATTGATGGTCGATATTTTGACAAGTTGATCTATAACAACCATCCTTTAACTTGCAAGTAAGCATTATTTGATTTCGGATTTGAACTAATCTCAACTTCAATTTGGGTGAGATTTGTAATTTTTTTCATTCTGTGTTTGGGTTGTTAGATTAAACTTTAAGATTGTTATGCTATAAGATACCATTTTTTTGTAGCTTCATTCAACACATATACTGCTTTACTTGATGTTTCTATCGAATGGAATCTCTTTCCTATTTACTTTTTTTCTAATTTTTGTGTGTCTTCTTCCCTGATCTGCTAATCCTCATGATTCATACTCTTTTTTTGTTCTATCTGTATTGGAGTGTATTGGTTTTAGGATTAAGAAAGGTCACAATTGTAGATGTTGACTTTGATTTACTACGTTTTGGTTCTCATTTGCTAGATTGGAAAAAAGTTTAAGGATTATAATTCTTTTGGTGTTGTTTTTTTTTTTTTTTGCAGGAAAATTAACTGAGGTGGCTGATAGGAAAGGGCAATTTGATAATTTGGTATAAAGGTATGGTTGGTAGCTGACTGTAACTTGTGATTGTGTTCAGTGGGTAATGGAGGTAGTAGGATGTACGAGCAATCTCCTTGCTGATAAGAGCGACCAAAACAACTGATATCCTACAAGACTAAGCTCATTGGTAGAAACACCATAATTCCAACAAAGAAAAGTCAGGTAAAATCATCATATCATTTATCTGATATTGTGTTTTATTTAACTCACTCCATTATTGTTTACGAATGTTAATGTATTAATTTTGTTACGTTATTCTTTTCTTTGTTTTTCAGGCATACACGCTTTAAATGCAAATAGACCAAATTGCCCTTGATTTTGAAATCTTGAAGCAAGGAAACCATGATTCCTTACAACCTTGAAATATTGAATGTGTTGCATTGCTTTTGGGTGTTACGAGCACTAGCTTGAATTTTTCATAAGTCATGTGATTTGGTTTGATGAAAGTTGAAGTGAAGATTATACTAAATGACTAAAATTCGATTATGCAATTGATTGATAATATGCCTTCTAATAAATAAATCAATAAAATATCTACCGCAAACTTCTTTCGCAGTCAGTTGAATTGAAATCCGACCCCCGTAAAACGGGATACTTCCCTAGTTTAATTCTAATTAGGACACTTAGTTTCGCTACTTACCCATAATATCCTTAACCAACTTCTAAGAATATCCTCATAAGCAATCCAATTTAATTTAAATTTTCTATTATAAATTAATTTTGTTTCTTCCATGTGTACAACCCAACAATCCAATTAAAAAAAACTATTTATTATAGATAAAAAATTAAAATTAAATATGAAATATATCGATATTATACTCTATTTATAGAGAATTTTTTTTTAATGAAATTTAGTATTTTTTGCTAATTTTATTGAGATAATATTTAACGTATATATTACAAATCGACCAAAAATAAGATATAACGTATAAAAGAAAAATGAAAAGAGATGTTGTGAGACGTGTGAGCTCGGGTTATGGTGGTAGCTTATCAAACTAGTTCACAACTAATCATTTAATGTTTAATTTTTTTATTTAAAAAATTGGTGAGCGGGTAGCTTAAAACCGACAATGGGGTAGCCTAAGAGTGTGGTCCAAACGATTACACGATAGCAAGGAAACATTTTTTGTAAATATGAAAACCACATGGGGTTGTATGCAAATTTCAAAAGATTACATGATAACAAGGAAACAGTTTAGTCACACATTCAACTTTCGGCATATATCATGGGCATAACATTTATTGCTAGTTGATAAAATTGATTGTCAGAAATCTCATCTCAATTTATATACTCGTTCTTAGTCCTTGTATTTACAACGCATAAACTTCGAACACATCATTGTTTGGTACGACTGATGGATGTGATTCACAAGATTTTAAATGTTGTTTTTCCAGTTTTCTCGATCATTCTTTTTGTGTTCTTGGTTCCTACACGTTGGTTCTTTAATCTCATTAGGATCTGCTTCAAATTTGTGTATCCTGAAGAGCTTGCGAGAAAAGTAATACTCATTACTGGAGCTTCCACTGGTATTGGTGAGGTGAGCATTCGTTTTAATATGGAATTTACATACATATATGTATGTTTGTATGTATGTTTGTATATATGAGGAGAAATTGATGATGCATGGTTTGATTTGTGCATAAATGGAAGCATTTGGCGATTGAGTATGCGAAAGAAGGGGCATGTTTGATATTAGTTGCAAGAAGAGAGAAACAACTCCGAATGGTGGCCAAAAATGCTAAGGCAGTGGGATCGCCCGATGTGATTGTGATTCCAGCAGATGTTTCGAAACTTGAGGATTGTAACAAAATTGTTGATGAAACTATCAAACATTTCGGTAAAAGTAAGAATTATATTCTACTACACGTTTACAACTAACATGCATGCACACCAAATGTTGTTGAAAATTATGATGCAAGTTTCACAAACCAAACATGATCAGTTTTTCCGGCTTATAAAAGATACTATTTTCCCACATTGGGTGTTGTAGCTCACGTTTCAGAGATGATACACTAACATAATAATTTTTTACCACCTCTAAATTAATCAAGGCCTTGTTTGGCAAGGTAATACTTTTTTTTGTGAGAATTCCTTCTAATGTTTTTTTTCCTTATTACTTTCCTACACATTTAGAAACGAAACTTTTCTTATTTATTAAAATTAATAATTTTTATTATATTTATCATCATCTAAAAATAATAAAAGAATATTTAATTTCTTTTTTTCTTTAGTTATTGTTCATAGTTTTTGTAAAGTATTTTTGTACTTTTTGTTCATACTTATTAGATTAAGACAAGTGTTAAAATCAAAAAAGAAAATTAAGTAAGGGAATTAATAGATTATATATTTCATTGTTTTATAGGAATACAAAGATAAATACAAACAAAATATAATAATATATTTAATTTTTCAGAAAGAAACGCATTTAAAAGCATTATCTTTGTTTTAAAAAATAGAGATTATTTTGCACCGATTTTAAGACATCTAGAATCTTTTACAACAATAAGAGTTATGGGGTGTTTGGCATTACTTTTAAAATGACTTTTAACTTTTAACTTTTTAAAAAAATCAAAATATATTTGGGTGATAGAAACGTTATTGTGAAAATGATTTTTTTGTATAGAGAAAAATGAAGGGTTTCAAAAAATTATAAAAACTTGTTTTTTATGACTTTACTTTTAAAAGTTACATCAAAAATCATTTTGTTAATCTAAACACATTTTAAATAGTTCTTTTTGCAAAAAATCTTTCTACAAAAAGGATTTTTGATGTTCAAAAGTAATCATAAACACCTCCTTACATGGCTCGATGCCAATAAGTTATGAATATATTAAATATGATTATAAAATTTATATTATTAAAATGAAACTAAATTACTGAAATCGTTCATGTGATTTGTATATTTCATATTTGCTTTTTTATTCATTCGGATTATTTATATATTTTATTCTTATTGCATTTTCGTCCCTGACCAACAAAAAAGGACAACTTTGTAATTATATTTTCTTTTTAAATTCATTTTGTTATTTATAAATTAGAAGAAAAAAATAATTTATAGATATGTGAGACCAATCTAACTCTCACACATATTCTCACTCCCACCACCACTAGTGTCACCTGTTAACAACCAGTATTCAATAACGACCACTAGTAAACATCGGCAACCATCGATGACCACCAAAAACCACAAACAACCATCTCTAACAACCACCTCCACCATTTCTAGCAACCATTGGTTGTCATCGAAAACCACAGGTGATTCGTAAAAATCAAATCCACCACCATACTATATAAGAAATGTGGTTGTCACCACCACTTGTGACATCAAACCATCGTTAGTGTCATCAAACACCGCCACGAGAATTAGATCACATTAGCAAACACCATCGTCACCATCACTGCCATCAAACGCCATCTCCACAAACTTTGTCATCAAACAATCACTAACACCACCATTTACATTAGACACCACCACTACCAAACCAAACCAGAATGAAAATTAAATCAAACTCAGATCAAAGGTTTTAGATCATAAAAAACATAATCGGGATGTCCATTGGTTTTCAGATCAAATGCATAATGGGGTAAGTGGAGGACTCGGTATGCAAATTGATTCATAGACCTTGAGAAAAAAAATTATGTTGTTGCCGGCTGAGGGCATCGGTGGTGTTAAGCGGGTAGATACTTGAGCTTCTAATGGGAGACATACGAAGGTAGAAAAGAACAACAGAGTTGTACATTTTCGATAGCTTTAGGGATATATGCTTTAGGTAGCCACGTTAGGGAAGGCAAAAGTGGGTGATTCGAATGGTGTCCTTTTGGTTAAGCTTCTCCAAATTTAAAGATCGTGAACTAGAGAAACAAACACATTGGAGAAGGCAATTGTGGCCAAAAGTAGACGGGTTTGGTGGTCCGGTAATGCTGGGTGGTGACCTTTGAGCTCTAGTATCTAGGGTTCATGAGAAGGAGATGATAAAGATAGGTTAGATGGGAGGGAACGTGTGGAATGGTACAAGTAATAGAAATTATAATAAAAAAACTGAAAGATAAAATAATAAGAGCAATTTAGTTTTTTTTTTTATATTTGCAAGTGATGAAAAATGCAATAAAAACAAACTATATGAACGATCCGAGTGCAATATATATATATATATATATATATATATATATATATATATATATATATATATATATATATATATATATATATATATATATATAGGGTTAGGTTCATGTGAGACGGCTTAATTTTGTGAGACCGTGAGACGCATTTTTTATTTTTTTTTATAATTTTTTAAAATTTTTTTTTAGTTAACTCAAGTTCCGAAAATAATATTTAAAAAAAGAATTTTTTGATTTTTCCATTTATTTTGCATTTTAAAATTATTTTTAGAATATGTACAGTGTAATATTCTATTTAGAATATTTCACGTATTTTTCAATAAAATAGGATTTTTTATTTTTTTTATTTTATTTATTTTTTTTAGTTAATTCAAGTTCCGAAAATAATATTTAAAAAAATATTTTTTAGATTTTTCCATTTATTTTGCATTTTAAAATTATTTTTTAGAATATGTTAATGTAATATTCTATTTAGAATATTTCACGTATTTTTCAAAAAAAAAAATGAGATTTTTTTTTAATTTTTTTTAGTTAATTCAAGTTCCGAAAATAATACTTAAAAAAGAATTTTTGGATTTTTCCATTTATTTTGCATTTTAAAATTATTTTTAGATTTGGTATTACGGTCTCACAAAATTAGAATGGTCTCAAATGAATCTGAACCTCTATATATATATATATATATATATATATATATATATATATATATATATATATATATAATATATATATATATATATATATATATATATATATATATTAAAAGACGAATGAAAAATCATTAAAAAATAAAATTTATATGTAAACAATCAACATGTGCCATCTAACCCTTATTAAATAATAATTAATAAAATTGTCATATAATTCAGTTAAAATTATATTTTGGTTCCAGAATTTCACAAAAAACCCATACCCACCCCTCCCCCTCCCGACAACATCACCGTCTATTTTAATTGTAGGCAATATCCATCTCTCTCTCTCTCTCTCTCTCTCTCAAACAACCTTACAGTTATCTTCATAGTATTTCTTTCCTTCGGATTTTATTCAGAGAGGGAAACTCCAATTCTTTGATCTTAACTCCATTGACCAACAATTCATTAAATCATTGTTTGAAGAACAACAAAGTTTCAAAATAGAAGGGACAATAATCATGTAACCACCATCGTTACTAACCTTACGAAGACAAATAAATAAGAACAACAAACTTCAAAGAAAAAATCTAATAGAAAAAAGAATAGTAGATATTTGGATCCTGATGCAGATGATGAAAATGGATGTTTGAAGACGACGATTAACGCAAATCCAAACCACCGTCGTTTCTAACCTTACGAAGACAAATAAATAAGAAAAAAAACACATAAATTTTGAACATAAATCAATGCAATTGCCAAGAAAAGTTAAAAGGAAAAAAAAATCCCCAAATCTAGATAAAAAGTTCGCTTTCCAGATCCAATCAAAATTTAAAATCAATAATCGAGTCGTAACAATAAGGTGAAAAACAAAATCAAACCAAGTATCGGTGGCTTTTCACGTCGTAAAGTCGAAATGATGAAAATTAAGTTAGGGTTCTTGAAAAATCTCAGCCAAAAACTGAAATCCCATTTCAATTTTTGCTTTAATTTAAAAAACTCACATCAAAACTAAGTACAAAAACATTAAAAATCTTGTCGGTGGAGACCTCCTGCCATTACGAAAAGTAGAAGTAGGTTCAAGAAGAATGCGATTAATTTGATGAATGAATATGGAATTATTATTTTTTTCATCTTAATAAATAATAATGATTGTAACACACACAGACCTAATGAAAAACTGAAGAATCGAAAGGCAAGTAAAAAAAAATTAAGTATCAAATATGTAAATTACCACAAACCGTAAGATAGTCCAATTAATTACCCATTAACAATGAAATAACAATTGTCATTTTATATATCATTATTTTATATATCATTGGTTCTATCTTTGTTGTCCTATTAATCTTTCCTATATATATACAAATGTAAAATTTTTACAAATCATAGGTATGATTTTAATAATTTATTCTTAAAATAATAATTTAAAATTTTAATTAAGCAATTTAAGAGCTTATAACCATTCGCATACATTTTGGATGAGTTGTTATCCGTTTCTTAGACTTGTTTAATCCATTTTAGTTTTAGCTATAAGAGAAATTATATATATTTTTATATTTTTTTTCTTATTTATTTTCGTATCCATACTAAATGGTGACATTTGTCATATTTAATGAAAGTATCATATTTTAATACATTTTTCACCATTTTAAATAAATAAGAGGATAGATATGAAAAAATATAAGAGTTTAATTAATTTTTAAAATTTTGATCATCTAATTGGTTGAAACTTATGTATACTGATATTTTTATTAAGTAAATGAGTTGAAACCACCACTTCTAATTAATATCGGTTCATATTATTTGCCATGTTTTTCATAAACGGAAATTTTGTCCAATCAAGTTTACGTGAAAAATATTAACATAATTGGTTAAATACTAGAAATAAGGGAACTGATCCGTACACAACAAATTTTTTCCATACACAACAATTGATGCTTTAAAATGTTGTATTGTACAACTATATAATGCATGAATTATTATATATGAGTGTACGAATCACTTCCCAATAATAGTTTTTAATAGTTATTTAAAATTGTTAATTTGTTTGGACAGTTGATTACCTCATAAACAATGCTGCCATAGGAAAGTTCGGTCTCTTTGAGGACTTAAAGTGTCTCACTGACCACACTTCTGTTATGGTATTTATCTCTTTTAATTCACACATACTTTCCACTAATATTTATTTAAAAAAAAAAAAAACAGAATCTTTAAAATAAGCATTCAAGAATTTGTTATAACTTATAACTAAATGAACCAATGCAATTTAAGTAGAAATATAACATAAAGGAAAGTAAGTTATTGTTGTTTTTTAGGATGTTAATTTTTGGGGATCAGTATATACCACGCATTTTGCACTTCCGCATCTACGGAAAAACAAAGGAAAAATAATTGCGATTTGTTCTTGTGGGGGATGGTTTGCTACACCACGAGTAGGCGTCTATAACGTGAGTATCAGTATACACTTCTTTATAAGTATGTATTGTGTTTTCTTTTATTGTAAAGTAGTCAAACATTCGTGCGAAAATGATGTTGTTTTTTATACATCATGAAATTATAAATACAAAAAACACATTCTTTAATTAGATAATTGAAAAAAAAAAAAAAAAAAAAAAAGAATTGGTCACCATTTTTTATCCAAAACATATTTATGCAAAAAAAGGGTTTCTTTGCATAAAAAGACAATTAAGATGCATATTTTATATCTTATATATATTTGTTTTAATTATAAAAGTGTATCACACAGGCTAGTAAGGCGGCGTTGCTAAGTTTCTATGAAACATTAAGGATCGAATTTGGTTCAGATGTTGATATATTAGTAGTGACTCCAGGAATGGTCGAGACCAACTTAACTGATAAAGATTGGTTAGAAGAGGTACTTGCTAAGTTTACTTGGTACTTAATCCACTAAATTTACTTAATTCATTTACCCTGTTTTGATCTTCAGACCAAAAATTATATTCATATTTTTAGCAGTATTAAACTTCTAACCGAAGAGTTATAGGTTTTACTAATCCTTAAGACAATCAAGGTCGTCATTTTAAGAGAAATTAATTATCCTCCTACTTTTGTTCCTACAATCCTCCTACCCAATTAAAAAATAACATGTGTCATATTAATGTATTAAAATATCATTAAATGATACACATATCATTATTCAATTGATAGAAAGATTTGTAAGAAGAAATAGTAGGAGGATATTTAATTTCTCTCATTTTAATTTTGTTATAATATGCATCTTGTAATTAAATGTTCTCATTCCCAATACACTTGATATTAAGGGGTATTTTAGATTTTTTATTTAAGATGTTTATTAACTTGTTCTATGATAAACATTTTGTATGATAAACATTTTGTAGTGTTTGGATGAAAACAAAAAAAATGTTTATTGACTTATTTAAATAGATTTTGATAAATTGTTTTTTTAACTTATTTGAAATGTAAATGATAAGTGGAAACCAATATACCATTTTATCACTATTATTTTGACCCTAAAAAACACATGCATCGGTCTCAGTTCTTTTATATAATGACCAACAATATCCATATGAATTTATCACTTTTATTTATGTTATTTTTGGTCATTTTATATGTAAAAACATAATTTATAAAAGGATTAATATCATAAAAGTCGTAAATTTTAACGCGTAATTGAAAAAAACACTAACATTTTTTTTATTGCTATGACCACAACTTTCTCGTATAATTATCACTCTAACACACTTAACGAATTTTATGGTTAACTTTTTTTTTTTTTTTTTTTTTTGCAAAATCAATCCTAAAATTAGAATTAAAGTTCAAATATGGTCTATGTAGTTTGCAAAAAGTTACATTACATGTTTTTTTAAACTTTATTTTTCGTTTTTTGTATATTTTATATATATATATATATATATATATATATATTATATATATATATATATATATATATTGTTT